TTTAAGAAACTAATTAGGCTAAGACTTTGGTTCCAACTGCCCCCCCCCCCACCCCCCACCCCCCAAACCAAAAAAAAACAAAAAGCAAAAACAAGAAATACTCATATATAATTCGCAATGTTGCGATATTGATGTGAAACAAGGCAAACAATAACACCACTTTGTATTTCGGGTCTAAGAATGTTTTTGGAAGTGGATGGGTTTAAGCATAAATGAGGGTAAAGCTTTAGATTTATAGACAAAAAATAATGATAAAACTTTGGAAGTGGGAAGGTTTCAAAACAAATACGGTAGAACTTTGGGGTTATAGGCAAAAATCACAACTTTGAATGTGGGTGGATTCAAAAATAAATGGAGGAAAATTTAGGCTTAGAGAGAGGAAAAAAACCTCTAAGGTTAATCGGAGGGTATTGTAGTTATGAATAGTACAATGAAGTATTTTGGGTTATAGGGTGAAAATACTTTAGTGAAGTGAGTGGAAGCACTAAGACATTGGTTCGTAGGAGGGGAAAAAATCATCTACAATTCACAATGCCATGAGTCTCGCAACATTGTTGTGAAAAAAGCAAAAAATAACACCACTTTGTCTTTCGGATCTAAGAGTGATTTTGGAAGGATAGGGTTAAAAGTAAATGGGGATAAAACTTCGAATTTATAAGCGACAAATCATGGTATAAGTTTGGGAGTGGTGGTTTTGAAACCCAATGGTGTAGAACTTTGGGTTTGTTGGCAAGAATGATAATTTTAAATGTGGATGGGTTCAAATATAAGTGGAGGAAAACTTTGGGCTTAAAGGCAAAAAACCAAAAAGAAATCTTTTGGAGTAATGGAGTGTACTGTAGCTATGAACACTGTATAGCTATAGTTGTATGCATATGAATAGAACTTCTAAGAAAATTCAGAGTGTACCTTACTTAAGCTGTGCAACTAAGCACCAAATAATTATAACTAGAGAGACAATATGGATTATGTAACCATCATTTTGTTGATATCACAATCATTTTGCAATTAACTCCGTGTAGAACGACATCTTAAAAATGACCACTAAACTAAACTATTACAGTGAGTAAAACAACAACTAAGGACTCTGGATAATTTAACTGAAAATATATGAGCTTAACTCAAGCTCCGGAAAATAGGATTTTGTTTTTACGACGTAAGGATGCAAATCAATGCATGAATGCTTGCAGCAAACAGAAAGGTGTATGGTAACTTTTCGAGGTTTGTGCTGTTCATCTGTGCATGGAGGATAAAATAGGAGTTCTCAATAAACAGACCATGTTGCTTTATTCTGCTCTTTTTCTTAGCCCTGAACTTCATTTGTGTGGATATGTCCCCTGATTTTGGGGCACTTCCCACTACCTCCTTCCCAGCCTCTCTGCTTGTTGTAAGTCTTGTATGAAGATATCAAAATTTAAGGTGAAGTTTATATCATAAGTTTAGATCAATCTTTACATCATCTCAAAGTTCCAGCATCATAAATATCCTTTTCTTTGACTAAATCAGTTGATTCCTTTTTTTTTGGATGTTATGAAGACTTGAACCTAAGAATTCTTTAAAATGATTCATAAGTTAATCAGATGCGGGTACGGGTATGGGACAAGGCAAATTTGTAAAAGATGTGGTATGGGGAGTGGGGACACAACTACACATACATGTATATGTAATAATAATTTACATGAGATCAATATATATTTTTTCATTTATCATGCTATGAAATAAAATCCATACAACATTCATATGCTTCTTTTATAATATAGATCTATAAATTAAAAAATTGTTTGTTTTTAACTTGATATCCAAAAGGCCCTCTGTGATCATAGTTTTGAATTGGGTACCAGATGAAATGACCCTACTTATGTCTAACAAGTTTTAGGAATTGCATGTGAAGTGTAGGATATACATCCAAGTAGACGAGTGTTTTAAATTAAAACATGTATTATATAATTGCGTACACATTTGAATAAAGGTATACAAACATCCAAGGAGTGTCCACTCTAGCTTCGGTGTTAGCCTGTTAGGTATAGGTTTGACAGGGTTATGACACGGGTACAGGTCCACTTAGAATTATCCATGCGATGCAGACTGATTTCGAAAACTTTACAGCTTAGGTGTAAAAGATTATTCCAGGAATAAGAAAATAAATAAAGAGAGAATAACCACTACTAGCTATAAAAACTCAATAAAAAGTGACCATTCAGGCAAACTAGTAGAAACTTATAACATACTGATTCAATATTTGAAGCAGAAACAACTTTTAAAACTGATTATCCCGTCGATATGCAGATGCCAGCTAGCATACCTATCTAACCAAAAAAAGAAGAGTAATGAAACTATAACCATCATTTAGCCCTTTTTTGACACATTTTAGGAAATTTTAGATCTTTCCAAATCAATTGTTTAGAATTTTAACAAGATGTTTGTCACGCCCCGAAACTCCGCAGCGGAAATTCATAAAATACGGGGTACGCGACAGCAGCGACCCGTGCACGAGACAAGTTTTATGCACGAGTCAAGTCTGGCAATTCATATTATAAAATACTAGTGAGTTCATTAAAGCCCCGCCCCAAAATCCCGAAGTCGGTACTCTATTAGATCTGATGGACTGGCCTCACAAACCACCACATGTTTTTTCAGCACGTTTTGTCCTCACTCACGCGCTCCCTGGAAAACTTCCCAGGGGGTCACCCATCCTAGAATTTCTCCAGGCCAAGCACGTTTAACTTTGGAGTTTCTAAAAGTTGGGTTCCCGAAAAAAAGATGCATCTTGATGGTATGAGTATTCCAATCAAATCTATCAATACTAATCACATCACCCTCTTCAAGGGTTGGAGTATTACAATGTTCAAATAACTATTGTAACAAACAACATTCTAAATAATCATGTTTTCTGATTAGAATCAATGTTTTAAAAAACCTCCGCCTAGCTCGCTTATGCCTAGGCGTAAGCCATACATTGGTCGCCTACCTAGCACCTAGCGCCTAGACGGTACGTAGGCTGCCCATCTAGGTTTTTGGAGCGTCTCGAAGAGCATGGTCTGCTTACATGGCCTGCACCCTTTATGCACTGATCGTGATTTCCTCCATAGCAACCTCCACGTTCTCCAACCTCCTAACTATGAATACTTCCTCTCTCGACCTTCAGCAAAACCTCCACCACCACTTAAGAAATTTGTTTAGGTGTCAGTTCAGCGCCTAAAATTTCTATAACACTAGCATTTACTATCAGTAATTGTAATTGAAAACTTAAAAATAGGAAAACACCTAGTCCCCGCCTAGGCTATAGGCATTGGGTCCAATGCCTAGCCCACCTAGCGCTTTCTGTAACCTTGATTAGAATAATATCTTATACAACATGTTCACACAAGTGAAGATGAACAAAATAATGCTTGTTTACACAATGTGATTTAAGCCCCCAATATTTTGCTCTTGCTGTTCAATATTTTCTTTTTTCCTTTGTATGGAAGGAAACATATGAATATATATCCTGGAAATCTGATGGACCAATAGTGTATGTGGCATAATTCATTTCGGAGAAACTAACATGCATAACCCATTACAGTTTTTTCCTTATCAGATAAATAATAACAGGTACTAAATCAACAATAAATATGATGGGGTAAAAAATACTAACAGATAAATAATAACAGCTACTAAACCCACCTCCAGATATTCTGTGCCTGTCGAGCATTGAGTCACTCTACAACATGCATAAAATTGAAATGTCATGTACAGGGTAACAGGATAGGATAACTACCAACCTTAATGGACAGTTAGTAATGTAAGAGTTGTGTGGAATGTCAGTAACACAAATAGAGAGATGTTGGAAACGTGCTTGCTACTTGTCTTCCAACCAAACTCCAATTTAAAGATGCAAACGTTACCATAGAAAATATATCACATTAACTGTGCATAAAAAGTCAAAGAATATAATGTCCATGATTGGTAAGAAAGAAGAAGATGAGTGAAATAAGAATTTTGATTGGATCACTAAACATTAGAGATCACGAGTGCTATCATATGCATAGTTTTCCAGGGGAATATCCATTGCGTCCAGGCATAACTAATAAGTGATAATTATACCTTTCCGCCTTTAATGTAGCAAAGAAACCTGTCCTTTGACATATTTGATCCAAAGCTTGCATACCAAACCTCAAACTTTGATAAACCCGACCTCCATGTGGGGCAAGGACTATTAATTTGCTGAGGAAGCAGTGTTGGAATACTATGAGATGCTTCAGCTGAACTTTGCTCTCTTGGCAAGTCATTTGAGGTGACAGCCTTCCCAAGTTTATTGCCATCAAGATTTAAAGTTGTAAGGGAAACAGTCACATCATCTACAATCTCAACATGATTAATGGAATGTCTGGAGTTGGAAGTCCGATCATCATTGTCTACTAAGCAGTTTATGGGCAATAACTCTTGCCAATCAACCAGTTCCTCCATATATGCAGATATTCTGAAGTGCAAGAAACATATCAAGTCATAAGACAACAGCCATCCCAATAAAGAAGACCAGATAACCGTGTTTGAAAATAAATTTCTAGTGAACTGATGCTTAACATCAGTATCAAAAAAGTTCAGCAAAACTGATGATTTGCAAATCACCAAGGTGAAGAAAATTAAAGTGGATGCCAAGTTTGCTGAAGTGAAAAAAATACTAGTACAAAACCGACGTTTCGATGAGTAAAAAAATGCTGCTAACTCTTCCCTCCCAAGTAATCCTTGGTCAAAACATGGAAGGCAGGGATATACCAGAAACTCATTCTATTGTACACACCAGTATTTATAGGACACAAGAAAGAAGGCCAAAACAAAAGTTCAATTGTGGGGTTTGAATCTTTGACAGCCCTGAAATTATGACATTAGTATGATGCTCTTTTTAAAGGTGAGAGAGTCTTCAAGGTGCATTTTAAGTAGTTGTTGGCTGATTTAAATTGTTTCTGGTTTGGCCTTTGCTTATAAGTAGCACAGCCTCAGCTCTTGCCAGATGTTCTAGAGTGCACATAGACCCTCTAAAATTTCTAGCTAGCCACCGACGCACATATCTATTTATGTGCACAATTAATTTTATAAAACTATCTTGGATACCACTAGCTGATCTTATCTTGTAATCAGCTCAAGGCGTCTGAACTTGTTCTTTTATTTTATTATTGAAATATAGTTTTGAGCTTACTGTTTAGACAAAAAATTAAGATATATTCAAAATATTGAATTATTTACCAGTTCAGTTATTTTGTGATGTAATTAACCACACTATAATCATAGACCATGAAGCCTGACCTCTCTTGATTGGTATTTAAGAAACTGCACAAGGTATCCTTCATGTTCATGGATAGTGAGAATGATGAACTGTCTACCAAAATTGTCATTAGTCATCTGCTATAAATCCATTGACAGAGTCGTAGATTCATGGTTAAGATCAGCATGCAAGACATTCTTAGATTGTGTAAAAGTGACATGGAATAAAATGGACATTTTTTGTGGCTTTCTAATCAACGTGAGATATCATATATGTCAAAGGAAAGGGGGAAAAAGCAAATTGCCTAGCAGCCAAGCGTACATCTGGAAAGCACCGGACAATTGATATAAGAACCATTAAAGTATATTTTACGCACTTCAAAGAGAATACACTAAACTCAAAGTTGGTTCAAAGCTGCATAGAACAGTCTGAATGAATCCGTGATCATTTGATATAGTTTGTGGGAAGAATACAAACCAAGGATCAACTCTGCAGTCTGCACAAGCATCAGGATGTGCTTATATTTCCAGAATTCTCAAAGGTTCTATAAATTCATTAAACAATAATAGCACATGGGTTCAGATTCCTATCACATTACTAAATAACACAAGGGAAAATATACTTTGCTTAGTAAGGCAGTGTTTTTGGCAAAGCAATGATTATACAGGATTATCAGAAGTCCAAGCAAAGGTACAAATAATATCTTGCAGAAAATTAAAATGGGAGGGGAGTAAAATACCTCAACTGGCAAAGGATGGTTGTTGCTAATCAATATGTCTAGTGGAAGCTCAAAAGACAGAATCGGCCAAAATTTCTTCAGTTCATTTCGCACCTGGTTACATATATCTTTGTATATGAATAGCCTGAACTAAAAGATGATAGCATTACTAAAAAAAGGAACCTGTAAACAAGATAATACCTCCTGTATTACACGCCACGTGGACTCAAAGGGTCTACTTTCTAAAGATCCATCAATCGGTTTTTCTTCCAACAAAGTTCTAATGCAAGCAAGAACAGAATTTGATATGGAGTTAAGGTTGTAGCCGCCTTCCAAAGCCATCATAATCTTTCCTCCAGCAAACCTCATTAGCTAAAAGATGAAAAAGGTAACAAAGTTGAAAATTAAGCATGTGTCACGCTAAAGAGGCAAACTGTATTTACAAATGACAGAACAGATATAAGCAGATGAAGGTTTTGAAGTACAGGTCACGGCAAAAATTTTACAGCATGGAACAAAACCAAGTGTGAGTATGCTGAAAGATCATTTACGTAACACAAGGACCTATTTGGATACAATTGACTACTGCTAAATTTGAAATAAAAACAAAAAGTAAAACTTGAAAATGTCAAGGGATAGCAAAGAAGAGCTAAGCAAAGTAAAAAGTGCAACTATTAGTTGCACGAACTTAAAAATGCCCGATACTACCCCCACAGACTCCCTGTTTGGACGCAGGAGTGTGTCAACTATAACTCACTGCAATTTCTAGCATACAAACAAAGATGAAACAATGTAGAAAAATGTAATTCTATAATGAACATATACAACTAGCACTCTTTTCATTAAGCATAGTCTCAAAGAGATAATCACAGTTCAAGTTTTTCTAGGAGCAGCAATAGTGCTTTCAGTGGGGAAGACCGACCTTTTTAAGCATAAGTGAATATCCAAATGGCGTAATGCAACAACCACCTAGTGGATCACCAATCGCTGTTCAACGAAGCAGGGAAAAAGTAAGAACAAGGGAGAGTTTGACACATACTCATAACATGTGAAGACATGCCTTAAACTACTTCAGTAAATTAATAAACTTAAAGGACTAATTTTTGCTTCCACCTAATGGAACGCAAGTAACAAACTAGTTCAATTTAGATTACGTTGACTTTCCTGACACCTGAGAAAGCAGGAAAGTTAGTACAGATTTAAGTACTTAAACTGTTCAAGCAATTGCCAAATGACCACACTTGTATGAAATATGAAATTGGCAAGGTACTACTTATTGACTAATGGCAATTCATGGGGGGAAAGCAGTGTTATCGACGCGCAAGGCGCAACAAGGGGCGTAAAGTCTCCTTATGCGCACCATGCACAAGGCGCAACGTGAGGCGCGTGCCTCACTGAAGCGAGGTGCACGCCTGGAACAGATCTTTTCCAACATATGATATACAAGTATGAAACATGATTGCCCATAATTTTTGAGTTAGCACTTTTAATTGCTAGTTAGCGTGAACTTGTTTGAAGTTATAATTCAGAGAGACACTCAAGCTGATGTTTAGAATCTTTCATCTATATATGAACAATTATCTCCATAAAGTCGTTGTTTCTTTAACTGACTTTTAAAGTTGCACACTTACATTAAATTACTAATTTCTTTTTTCTTTTTATATGTTAACATGAAGAGATGGACAATGAAGTAGCAAGAATCAATCAAATATCTCAATTCTCAAACTTTGTAAAAGAAAAAACATCAAAAAGAGTAAATAATATGCATAGAACATCAAAAAAAAAAGTCTATTAGATGTATTAAACATGTGTATTAAACATGTGTAAAGAGTCAAAAAAACAGTAGATTATCACTAAAGAAACCAAAGATTAAAAAAGAAACCAAGAAAACAGTATATTTTCACAAAAAACGGAAGGAAAAAACATACATTTACTGCAGCCCGGAGATGTGGTCGTCGGTGGCTTCTCTAAATGTCACCGTTGGCTTCACCGTTGATCATTGGATATGGGAGAGAGAGTAGTCGAGAAGAGAGAGAGGAGGCGAGCGATTGAGATGGGAGAGAGAGAGGCGGAAAATACAGAATGAAAACCCTAAAGAATCAATTGGGTTTAAGAAATATCGGGTTTCATACCCAAAAGCCAATTCCTAAAAAATAATATTATTTTTGGGGCGCATGCTTCGGTACGCCCCACCTTAGGCGCAATGCGCTCACAATGCGCACGAAAGGCGAACGCCTCGTGAATGTGTAGCGCTCCGCCTCTGATGCGGGGCCCAATTGTATCAACCCGCATCGCCTCACGCCTCGAGCATGCCTGGCACGATCGCCTTAATAACACTAGGGAAAAGGTAGGGTTAATTGCAAGCAGATATAGTATCACCTAATTGCAAAGAGACCCCTCATAGTTGAACTATTTGTTGTGAAACCTCATAGCTTTACTTGTTAGGAGTAGAACCCCCGAGTGAAATTTCCTTACTTTTAAAATTATTTAAAATGTTTGAGGATGCTGATAGACCCTCTACAGTTCTATTAGTGAGGATAGACATCCAACTGTTTTTTTTTTTTTTTAACTTTTAAAATAGTTGAAAAAGTTCATTAAAGGGGTGCATTCGCACTTGGACCAATAATAAGAGGGGTTTATTCACCACAAGTAGAACTACAAGGGGTATATTCGCAACAAATAGAACTATAGTGGTCTCCTTACAATTGAGTGATACTACAGGGGTCTGTTCACAATTAACCAAAAAATAACCGAAAAAAATAAGATGTGTAAGTTTTTCAAAGGAACACTTCAGGGAACTTCAATTTTCCATATCGTTGGGAGAAGTTTGAAATGAAATGTCTAGCCAAAAAAATGATATTGAAAGACTTGTCAATAAAAACGTTTCAACACACAAAATGGAGCAGGAGAAAAAATCAAAATGTATCATTAAAAGGTAGATGAAGGTATCCTATGCGGCTATATTTGAATTTTTAACTATATTATGTATAGGGTCTTTCTCTTAATGTGGGATAGGGATATTAGTGCAGTTACTACAGTTTAGAAGTCAGATGAGTAATTTATTAGCTTCGAGATAACATGTAGTTACTATAATTTTGAAGTTTATCCAATTTCAGGGCACAAGAATATAGGTAGTGCCAAGGTATTACACCATTCAGGACCTCCAGGTAAGATGTTCATTGCAAGCTCCATATATGAAGCTAAATCAAATAAGAATCAGATTAACATATTCTACTGTAAAAAAAACATGGCAATTTTAGCTGATAACAAAATCCTTTACTAATAAGAGAAGGTGCAACCCAAAAACACAACTTCCAAAATCTATAAACACAACTTCCAAAATCTATATTTAGATGGTTACCCTATGGTATTTCAATTTCATCGGAATGTATGTTCTGGTTTCTTTCTACTCGACATCATTCAAAAGAGGCAATATAAACAATTTTGTGACTAAATTAAAGATAACCAATTTATGTGTGACTATTCTGAGATGATAAACATGTCCATTGGTGTTCATTCACTATGATATTTTAGGTTATATGAAAGATCAGTATCACTTACGCATTTTAAAGTAAATGCCACAAATGACATATCTAAGAACAAGGTTTTAAATATCGTTTATCAAGGATTTATCGAACGGTCAAAATCCATATCGGATAGCGGATATCGGGGATAAGTAGTATTTATCAGAGTGACATTAATATTATGTGAAAAAGAAATAATACAAGCGTTTTTAAAATAGTCCAATTTTCACAGTAGTTGCTTGTATTATCTATAGAAATTTCTATAGAAATTCCTATAAAATGTTTTTGCTTAAGAAATCATTCCATTATATTCATTCTTGTAAAAACTGAAGATTAAACAAAATCTTTTATCAGTCAATTTCAGCAATTAACATACATCAAACAGCAGGACTAGAAGTAGGAACTTGGTTAGAAACTCTGAAGAAGGACATGCTAATGCTTAACTTTGTGGAGGAGATAGCCAATAAGAAAACTGAATAAATGAGTAGGATTCATGACACCAAAATGGAGACAAAAGTTTTGTTGTTGTAGTTGAAAGAGGGAACGTTCCACTTAAATCCATTAGAAAACAATTCTAGGAAGAAGTTTGAAAATAATTTAGAACACCCATAAGGACCTTTTAAACCGTGTCAAGAAATTAGGTTTGTGGCATATTTGACAATGAAATTTTAACTAGGATCCTATATGCATGCATATGATAGATGTAAACTTTATAGCATAAACCTTGGCATATTAAACTTCAATTTTTAGTTTTCTACAAGGACGCATAAATGTTCTTCACAAAAAGCTAGATGATGTTAGCAATTGATGTATAAAAAGATAAGAAAATTGTTCTTGCACCCAAGAAGGGTAAGTAAAGCCAATGACACCAAATGAAACAGCTAACACGTAAATTAAACGCTCCATCTAGCAGATCTGCCAAATAATTGAGTCAGCACTTTGGTGTAGATTATAAGCTCAACTTTGAAAAAGCTTCATGTGATATTTAGTGGATAAAGCAGATTCACCAAGTAACTCAGATAGATATTCATTCTATATGTTTATAAATCTGTATATTACATTTTCCAGACTTCAAATATCAATTCACATGGCATCAAAATAGATAAATTTCATCCGAACTTCTACATATGCAATGGTCTAAATTTCATCCAAATTCATGTACAATTAAGTATTCACATTAAAAGTAGAAAGATTTTTTTTTTTTTTTTTTGGGGGGGGGGGGGGGG